TGATGAAACAGCCGTTGCCGAAGAATGTATTGTTGATGATAATGAGGAGGAAGTTACGACTGTGAATGAACATGTTGAACATCCATTCTGTAATTCATATAATCCTGAAGAAGAAAAAGTCCCCGAAGAAAAGAAAATGCCACGGGCGTATAACTGGAATATGCCAGAATTACTTCAGATACCGGAAGAAGAGTTGATAAAGAAAGCAGTTGATTGTTACACAAAAGTTATTCGTATCAAGAAAGATGATTGTTTTGATACAAAGGAAGACTTGAAGATAGCTTTATATACGAAATGTGTGGAAGATGGCTATCAACTAAAAGTTAACAAATCAAGCAAAGATCGTTTCGAAACAAGGTGTATGATTGACAAAAACTGTACGTGGCGTATGATTGCAAAGAGAATAAAAGATTGCAAAATGTTTCAAGTTAGGACTTTTTATTGATAAACATACATGTTCAAGAACCCAAGTTTTTCCTCACCATAGACAGGCAAACAAAAAGGTGTTGGGTGGTTTTCTGGCTGAGTTAATGTTTTTGAATGGCAGGGTATATCGGGGACATGAAATTATGACTGACATGAATGCTCGGTTCAAGATTAGTATATCATATTCTCAAGCTTGGAGAGCCAAATGTTATGCCTTGGAATTGTTGAGGGGGTCGCCAGAAGCATCGTTTGCCCAACTGCCGGCTTATTGTCACAATTTAAAGCTGAAAAATCCTGGGTCGGTAACTCATATCAAAACATGATATTTAAACAGTGAAAAACAAAGACAAATATGTTTCAAACTTGCATTGTATTCACCCAAGTCATTATTCTATCATAGTTCACAAAATGCATCAGATAACAAAGAAAATATGTTTCAAACTAATACCCTGAAGTTAGTATTTGTCTTTGTTTTGTCTATTGGTTGAAGTAATGCAATCCATTCAAGTTTCAATTTGCAGAAGAAGAAATAGTTTACTTTTGCAACACGAAACTTAAAATCGCAACGCGAAACCAAAATCGCAACGCGAAATGAAAATCGCAACGACAGAATCGCAATGCGAAATGAAAATCGCAACGAAAGAATCGCAACGCGAAATGAAAATCGCAATGCGATTTTGGTTTCGCGTTGCGATCTTGTCGTTGCGATTTTGGTTTCGCGTTGCGATTCTGTCGTTGCGATTTTCATTTCGCGTTGCGATTTTGGTTTCGCGTTGCGATTTTAAGTTTCGTGTTGCGAAAGTAAACTATTTTTCTTCTGCAAATTGAAACTTGAATGGATTGCATTACTTCAACCAAAGACAAAACAAAGACAAATACTATTCACAGTGTTAAAGAATACACAGTTTAGCAGAATTGGCAGCAACCGAACAAATTTACTTTCAACCAAAAGACAAAACAAAGACAAATACTATTTCACAGTGTTAAAGAATACACAGTTTAGCAGAATTGGCAGCAACCGAACAAATTTACTTTCAACCAAAAGATAAAACAAAGACAAATACTATTTCACAGTGTTAAAGAATACACAGTTTAGCAGAATTGGCAGCAACCGAACAAATTTACTTTCAACCAAAGACAAAACAAGACAAATACTATTTCACAGTGTTAAAGAATACACAGTTTAGCAGAATTGGCAGCAACCGAATAAATTTACTAAGCAATCTAAGTGAAATGGCTAATCTAAGTGAAATTACGAGTAAATTTATCATTAAGTTAAATATGGAAAATCTTAAACTTACCTCGTTGCGTAGAGTATGAACCTCATTCTGCAACGATACTATCATCTCACGTAGAGCGGCAACCTCACCACGTAAAGTTGACACCTCCACACGCCATGCACCATCGTTATCGCGTAGAGTACCGATCTCCTCACGCAAGGCATTGACCTCATCACGTAACTCCCTTGACTCATCCCGTGGAGGTGGAGGTGGAGAACAGGGAGATAGGAGTCGTGGCATCTTTGCCGGTCGCCTATCATGAGGTGATGGTGGAGAAGAGGCTCGATGATGTGACGGGATAGGTGATGGCTCTCGTTCTAGAGGTGTATAGTCGGGTCGATCGGGTGATGGCTCTAGGTGAGGTGATGGCTCTCGAATTGGAGGAAGTGGATGCTGCTCATCATCCGTGCATCAAAAAACTCTGACTAGCTTGCCACCAATCAGTGGCAAGCTCTTCCTCCGTGGGTGTCAGTCTTTGTAATGGAATGTTGGCCTCCTAAAATATAAAAACTCAAACAAAGTTAAACGTCTACTATTAATAACTTGTTTATATATTATATGAAAGTATTTGTGTTAACTTACATTATTTATTGTCGCATATGGTATTAAGTCTTCCCAATCCAACAGAGTTTTCCTCTTCCAGGAAATAGCCCTGGGAATATCATTTGACGTTTTTATTGCATATGTACGCATGCTGGGGAAAGCCTCGAATATCCAAATCTACAAACAATATAATAACAAAATTAGTAATTGTTAAATAATTAATTATAATTTAGAAACATTATATAGAAATTCTTACCTTAAAGGCCCAAACAAAGCCTGACAAAGTGTATTTGGACCCATCGCCCCGCAAACTTTTGCGGTCATCAAAGGCAGACGACAACTTAGTCCAGGTAGCTTTCCATATATACGAACCCCACGGAAACAGATTCCATGCATTCAGGTCCTCTACCAATATTATTAGCTCCCGATGAATAGGTTGTCTGGCCTCTCTGCCTAAAAGCCGGCATATACAAGTAGTAGAAGGCATACTCGGACAACATCGACGTCATCCATCCGAGTGAAACCAGCTTTCTTATTAAACAATTTCTTCAGGTCGTCGACATGTAGGTTCGGCTTCTCCATTGACTCATCCGGAAAAACCCGGGATAACCATGATGGGCGGGCGATATGACGAGTGTACCGGCCTACATCATCGTGTCCGAATCGTAGACCAGTGATTAAGCAGAACTCCTTCCGCCCAAAACAAGTATAACGCTGGTGGAAAATGAAACCATATCTCTTCCTCACCACGTTGTATACTGTCGGGTAGATTTGATGTCATGGTCTGAAGCCACAAATGGGTCAAATTAGCATCTCCACCCGGATGTTGTACTCTCAGCCATGGCCCGAAGCAGGTTTCCTCAAACAATTGTCTTTGAGCAGGTGAAAGCTTCGAAGCAATTGTAGTGGCCAGGCTGACTTTATTTCTCAGGTCAATTGAGCCGAAAAAATTTATACAAAACAATAAACATACCAAGTTAGATATACCAAAAACTACACTGTGAAGATATCCAAAACATAAACATAAAAAGTAGTAGTTTATTCTTGAAACTAAATTTGCAACACTGTTTTGTCTTTTGGTTGAAATGAAAATCGCAACGAGAGAATCGCAACGCGAAATGACAATCGCAACGAGAGAATCGCAACGCGAAATGAAAATCGCAACGAGAGAATCACAACGCGAAATGAAAATCGCAATGCGATTTTGGTTTCGCGTTGCGATTCTCTCGTTGCGATTTTCATTTCGCGTTGCGATTCTCTCGTTGCGATTTTCATTTCTCTCGTTGCGACAGTCATTCTCTCGTTGCGATTTTCATTTATCTCGTTGCGACTCTTCTGCAAATTGAAACTTGAATGGATTGCATTACTTCAACCAAAAGACAGAACAAAGACAAGACAAATACTAACTTGAAAATCGCAACGAGAGAATAGCAACGCGAAATGAAAATCGCAACGACAGAATCGTAACGCGAAATGAAATCTAAGTGAAATGGTTAATCTATTATTGAAATGACCAGTAAACTTATCATCAGTTTCAATATGAAAAACCTACAATAATGCAAACATTTCAAAATAAAAATAATTAAAAAACTAACCCTTGGAGGTTGATTTTCCATTTCTGAATATTGTGAGGGATTTCTGACCGTGAATGGTTGTGAGGATTTCGCCGGAGATGGGGACGGAAATCTTCGGAGATGGGGACGGATTTCTTCGCCGTAGAGAGTGAGAGATGGAGATGGGACTGAGTTGTGATTTTAGGTTTTAGGTTATGAGTTGCGATTACGGGATTTTGTCTTAATATTCGTTTTTGTAATTTGAAAATAAAATACGCGTAGCAATTATAATGACGCTTTAAATATCGCGTTGCGATTTACGGATACGCGTTGCGATTTTATGTATTATCGTTGCGATTTACGGATACGCGTTGCGATATACGGATACGTATTGCGATTTACCCATACGCGTTGCGATTTACGGATACACGTTGCGATTTACGGATACGCGTTGCGATTTATGTGTTCGCGTTGCGATTTTCATATTCGCGTTGCGATTTTGGAAAATCGCAATGCGAATTTGTACTATCGCATTGCGATTTTCAAGAATCGCGTTGCGATTTTGGAAACTGATTTGCGATTCTGGGGATCGCGTTGCGATTTTTATTTCGCGTTGCGATTTTGTTGGTCATTTTGGCAAATCCAAAAAAAGTTGGTTAAAATCGTATATTATAAGGCATTTTTGGTCACTGAGGCGATTTTCTCATAATAAAATTTGATCTAAGAACAGTTTGAGTTGCATTATGTGGATTAAGTATTTGTTTACATTATGTTGTCGACTTAGTGCTTGAAACATTATGTCGTTGAGCTAGTAATGAAATATTATATCGTCAAGCCAGTGCTTGAAAGCAACAACAATGTTATTATAAATCATTAAAATATAATTTTATCATATCTCAATGAGCAGGTTAACGTCTAATTCAGACAATTGTCAATTTTTTAATGAAATAAATGAGTTTTGAACATGTAAATAGTCGGGTGACTATTTTATAATTTTTTAATAGTCGGGTGACTCAACAATGTAGTACCCTATAATCAGGGTCATTTTGTAACTTTTAATAATAACGAAACTCAACAAAGTAACATATTATAGCTGAAGGATAATTTGTGTGCTTTACCCTAAAAAAAGCCGGCGCAAGTAAATTTATAAACTTTAGGAATAAGCCAAAAAGACCAAACGACCTATTTTTTTTTTACCCAATTGCCCAATTCTGTATTTCTCTATTGGCTCATTCTTTAGCCCCCCTCGGAAATTCCTTCTAGGGTTTAAAAAATGGCAAACAACAGCAACAAAGAAAAACCAAGCACTGCTCCGAAGCCTAATCGATGGTACAATATAAGTTTAGGGTCTTCCTTCAAGGACCAACAGCATCCTTCTTCCAAATTCTGCACTTTACGCTGTAAGTAATCATTTCCCTTCCAATATTCCAGGGTTCTGTTTGGTAACCCAGAACACATTTTCCATGCTAAGTCCATATGTATATTTGATCTTTCAATACATTATATCTATTTCGACAAAAAATAAGTAGGAGTTTTTAATTGAATATACAAAATTTGATGATATTCGAATTCAAATTTGAAAAAGAAATAATGAAATTAAAGAGATTGCTAATCGCTTTGATTAGCAATCGTTAGTTTCAATGGGATAACTTCATATATTCTTTTTCTATCTGTATCAAGGATTGCAAATCATTGAGTTTTACGCTTTAATATTCGATTGGAATAGCTTAATATATTCTTTTTTTCTGAGTCCAAAATCATCTAGGATTTTAGTTTTCTTTTGCAGTCCTTTACAAATATGAAAAATCATTGAGATTTGAATTGAATGTTCTTGGTTTTGGTCTCCAGTACTGAATCTCCAAGACTCCAACTATGAGATGTCTGGTTTAGATATTGAGAGTTGCATTTGATGTTTACACGAGAGTTAACTTCATTTGCTTGAAATTATGCTTTTATCGGCCTTTTTCTTTCCACAATGTTTGGTTATCAGTCTAGTGGAGGGATTCGATTCGATTGATTTATTAATTTCTTTCAGTATCTGAAAGTTATTCAGCAGTGCAAAAATGTAAGTGTTGCATCTTTTGTTTGGCTCTGTTTCAGATGAATTTAAGCCAGCATCAATTGATAAGAGCCAACCAGGATCATTCCACAAGACGAAGGATAATCGGGTTAAGGTAGAATTTGAAAACAATCAACAGGGAAAACCCAAGGTGACATTTGAAGGGACATGTGAAGATTACAAGGACAATGATGCAGTTTTGTTCTTTGATGGTGAGACCTTTCGGTTGGAGCGGTTACACCGAGCTGTGAAGCGGTTGAGGCATCTACGCCAGCCTGGTGAATCCACAGCCATGGCTTCATCAGCTGGCCCTGCTGCAGAGTCTTATTCGCCTCCAGTTGGTAAGGGACTGAAGCCCGAGTCTTCGAACAAAGGCTCAGTTCCACCAATACCGGTGAGTTTACTTCACTCCTGCAATCTCATGCATCTTTGAATAAAGTAGCCATTATTGTTGTTAATGTGATCTAAAATAATATTAATTTTTCTATTTGTGCTGTTTTCTACGTGATTTTACAGCTTCAGGTGGAACGCATCGACACTGGTGACTTTGAGAGTGGAGGTGAGATTCTCTTTGTTTGTTAGATGCTAATATGGTTATGTTAGGCCTTCATTGCCATGATTTTACCGGTCTATCTGAATCCGGGTTAAAACTTGAAACAAAAGACGATTATCTTTACTCATTGTCAGAGTCCAGGTGGCTGATCTTTTGTAGATACATCAACCACTTCATTTTTTAAGAATATGTTGTTTTTAGTCATTTCATTTTACCATTTTAAAACGCTCACTTCCCTGGCCATATTGCAGAATCTAGAAAGCAGAACAACTTAGAGCCCCCGTCGTCTTCAGTTCCTAATAAATCAACTGCATCACCAGATCCGAAAAATTATGAATCAGAAGAACAGGTGGATATAGTCGACGACGATGATGATAATGATGGTTTGGGAACAGATAAGCAAGACAATGCCTCTGAAAAGGTGTCCTCTGGTTTCGGCATTGATATCAACTTACCACATCAAGTTGACACGGATGAGGAGATTGCTGATGTCGACTTAAGTGATGATGACAATAAACCAGGACGTAGTGCAGCTGAAGCTCTTAGAGATCAGGTGAATGCTGAAGAGAAAGAACAGTCTTCGAGCTCAAATAGTAGCAGTGGAAGCGATAGTAGCGGTAGTGGAAGTGGAAGTGGGAGTGGGAGTGGGAGTAGTAGTAGTGATAGTGAAAGCAGCGATGGTGGCGACTCGGCCATCTCTATTTAAGTGGTTAGGATCTTTCAACAACAGCCTAATAGCTGTTGTGCATGGATTAATTATTTTAGCTTTGTTTTTGAAGACAGGCTGGATGGTCATATATACAAACTATATGTAAACAACTATTTTATCAATTTTAACCACCAACGTTTCAATTTTATCAATTAAACCATCCAACTTATGTAAACAACTATGTGTAAACTATATGTAAACAACTATGGTTTCTAATTATTTAAATGTTTCCATCAAACCACCGGCCGTTAATTTTTAAAAGAGGTGGTGATGTGTGAATTAATAAAATTAGAATAATTATATATTTGGTCCTCAATATTTATATATTTTATCAATTTAATCACCATTTTAATTTAATTAAATAAATTTAACATCCAATTACATGATGACAAGGAGAGTTGACGCACTCGTAAATCACTCGGCCACCTCCAATTCTTACCATATAGTCCGACTATGTTTTATATATCCTGGTTAATGAAAGAAACATATGAAATTAAAATGCTAATAGAAGGTTTTGAGTCACAAAAACATAAATCAAAGATGGGAGCACCTTGACCACTAGACCAACCATATATTTGTAGTCTAATAACAATAATGTTTTATATATCATTAATTTTTAGTTAGAAAACTTTCAGTTACTAATTTAGTTATATAATTTTTGAAAATTTTTATGTTAGATTACAACTTTTTAATATAAATCATGTATTTATTTTTTTTATTAATTTTAAATTTTTTATTTATGATAGTTAGATTATAACATTTTTGTTTTAAATAAAAAAAAATCTTAAAAAGAATATGAATCTTTAAAATATATATACACTTTTTATGATAATCTTAAACATCACACCAAAAAGAATATGTTTTTTGTTAATATATATATATTTTTTAATTTCTAGTTAGATTACAACAATTTTTTTAATAAAAATTATTATTAAAAAATTTAAAAATCATAATATAATTCAAATTATTAAAAGAATTATAAAATTATTTCAGATTTTAAAAGAATATACATAATATTATATACAATAACAAAAATAAATGCAAAATTTATATTAAATATTAGAGTAAGTTACACCATTAATAAAAATTAATAATGTATTAAACAATGTATTTATGCTTTTAATATTAGTGGTAAAGTTTCAAGTTCAAAACCTTCTATCTTCATTTTAACTTTATTTTTTTCTTTCATTAAGAATAACAGGGTATATAGCAAATATTGTAATCATATCCTAAGAATTGTAGTTGGCTGAGTGGTTTGTGCCTGTGATCACCCTCCTATTATATTAAATAAATTAAAATTAAAATAATCATTCAATCATTTAATGACACATGTCACTATCAAATTGGATATTAAATTTATTTAATTGAATTAAAATAGTGTCTAAATTGATAGAATATGTAAACATTAAGGACTAAATATATAATTATGTCAATTTTATTAACGGACACGTCATCATCTTCATTAAAAATTAACGGCCGATGACTTGATTGAAGCATTTAAATAGTTGGGTGGTCTGATCGATAAAATTAAAACATTGGTGGTCAAAATGATTTTTTATCATAGTTTGGTGGTCAAAATGATTTTTTACCCTATATATTATTGTTACAAAGAGGATGATCTCAAAAGTCACAATATGATACTGATAGTGCTCCCAATCATGACTATGCAATGATTCAACCATAATCTGATTTCTATTCACACCGTAAGCCAAAACACAGTAAAAACTGACGGCGGAGCTTTAGTTATAGTATTTACTTATATACTTACTAAGGGTTAATATTAGTTAACTTTTGAGAATAAATCTAATTATAATTATTAGCAACTCTAGTAGGAACAGATGGGAATCTGAAAGATGTCAACAACAAATCTAACGTGAAGGAAGATAGTCTTGTCGATAAATTTGATTTGATTTTGATGAGGAAATAACTCTTTTTATGATATTGGATCCGGCAACCCTATAATACGATATAGATGAGTGCGGGAGTGGAATTAATATTGAATTTAATGATTTTCAAGGCAACATGAATGTGATAGGAATGGGATACTGGTGAGTATTCGATTTAGTTTTGAGTCAAAAACTTTCAAGTTAGTTGCGTTGACAAGTCTTATTTTATAACTTTATTTTAAAAAAATTGAGTCGAGTTGACTCGATTTATTTGAGTTTATATTTAAATTTAATTGTAAATATTTATAATGATCTAATACTACTTGATTTCAATTTAAATGGTCTTTATAACTATACATATATATCATGTAGAGTTGAGGGACTTAATTTGAACTTGAAAATCAATCCACTAATTACTAAAAATTTCGAGTTATTTGAGTCATATTTTGTAACTTAAATTTTATTTGAATTTTTTTAGTTGAGTCAAGTTTATGACATTACAAGTTAAATCAAGTCGAATCGAACATTTTAACGTTAAGTATAAAGGTTTAATATTTTTTAAATCAATTTTTGCTCACTCATAAGTAGGAAGATATTAAAACATATTTATGATGAAGAAATTGATATGTATTCTATTCAAAGAGAGAGTGATAATTCTGGAATGGCATCTGGTAGTAAAATCAGAAGATTATTGCTTGATGTGAAAAGAACTACTTTAATTTTACAATCGAAATAAATTATGTTTAAAAAGAATTCAATGTCGAACTCGAGAAAACTTTGAAGATTTAGAGACACAACGAGGTCCAATATAAATGTAGGTAACATGTGTTCCTTTTTGTGATTTTCGAGGGGAAAAATGATGTAATCTTACATAGTCAAAAGCTTAGTGAGAGAAACAACAGTTATCTCTCAAATCATCACAAAGGAGCAGCTTCTCTCTTTTCCTGCTCTGTGTCTCTTCCCTCATCACTTGCTTCACCTCCTGTATATCCATTCTGCAGCATTTTGTGTTCCGTAGGCAAATTCTTCTTGGCTTTCCTGCTCCCTTCCACTTTCCACAAATCCCACACCCGGGTTTTCGGTGGTGGTGTTGCATCAGCAATCGGAGCTACTAGCCCTGGCTTGCCATCATCTATTACTCCGTCGACTAAACCATATTCCTTGGCTTCCCAAGGATTCATGAAATTATCCCGGTCTGTATCTATTTCAATCTGCAACATAGTGGATAGTAAAAACAAGATGACTCGAATACTAAAACAAATGCAAAAGTGTAAGGGGGAAAACAGATGATAAAGGAATGTTGGAAGGCAATCAAACCTGTTCTTCAGGCTTTCCTGTAACTCTTGATAAGATCTTATTCAGCTTAACCTTATGGTACACCATTTCCCTTATTCGTATGCTCATCTCTGTTGCCTGGAATCATATATGAAACGGTCTAGTGTAGATAACAGAAACAACCAGAAATTAACTTGCTACAGACAATTCTATCCTTCTAAAGCAACATCCAATTAAACGAGCAAGACAAATTACTAGTAGAGCTCAAGTCAGACTTGTTCTATTAAGTATAAAAATTTATACCAAGCTCCATCTTTTTTCAATTAAAAACTCCATTTTCCGTATGGTTAACATCATTTCATCTTTCAAGAAAGTTTAATTGAACAATACAAACTGCTTCTGAAGAATTAGCCATGGAAACATTTAAAAAAGCAATGTACATTATATATAATGATGAAAGACACATCCAAATCATGAATAGTGATCTACATAGTTAGCTTCTGACTCATAGCATTCTTTGATTTTAATGGCTCCCTTCAAGCACTAATATTTTCTCGGGAAGCAAGGGGGATAAGAATTCAGTTCTGAATCACATTTGAATACACATACACACACACACGTGATGATTGCAATTTCAGCCTTGATCATAGAAGATCAACCAAAGAAAATTTGAAGGTTCAAATTGGAAAGCAAGCATTTCAAGTTTAATAATGAAAACAATCAACAATTAAATAAAACTTTAAGCTAACAATTTGAACATTATCATGACATTTAATAATGAAAACAGACAATGAAGTTGATAGTGCCCAAGAGTCCTTGAAGCAAAGATATAAATCTTATCTCAGAGGATCAATGTTCATAAAATAATGCAGAGCATCACACACTTACCTTGCCTCCAGCGGTTCCAAGGGGTTGATGAATCATCACTCTTGAATTGGGCATGCAGAACCTCTTCCCTTTTGTACCGGTAGCCAGAAGAAATGCACCCATTGATGCAGCAAGTCCCAAGCAAATAGTTGAAGCATCTGCTTTACACATCTTCATGGCATCATATATTCCCATTCCTACATGCATCAATCAACGAGGGAAAGTTAATATACACGTAAACTGTTTGCATAGCCTATGTGAATACCTCTTGCATCCGATTCAACAACACTGATCAAGGCCATTTGCTAACCATATAATTACTTTGAAGAAGCTAGCCAAGCTAAGAACTTTAGAAGTTAGCCTTTCTGTTGACTAAAAACAATTCTCTAAAGCATAGACTGTTTCGAAACAGTTCCTTAAATTCCAAAGGCCAATCCAATGCTTATGAATAAAGGCAACCGATAGAGAAGAGAAGCAAGGAATCAAGCATATGGAAGAAAACCAATAGACATACCAGCAGTGACAGAGCCACCGGGTGAATTGATGAACAATTTGATGTCATTCTCGGAGTCTTCAGCATCTAGAAGTAACAGCTGACTTATAATCAAATCTGCTGTCATGTCATCCACCTATTCAATATCAATGAAATAAAATTAAAAAACGGGTTCAAATCTAAGAAACTTCAAACCCAAATAATCACCAAGAGAATGTCAATCTTTGACCAACAACAAACAAATTTGAAAGTACAAATAGATATTAATAAACAACCCATTCCAAACTGAATTATAAAACTAAAAGGAGAGATTGAAATTACAGATAAAAAATGGCAATAAAAACAAACAAATTTGAAAAATATTAAACCCTTAAACCGAACCCAGTATCCCAATTGACATATAAGCTAAAAACAAAGTCTAAGAACTTGAAAAAATAAACCACACATTCAAAAGGAGAAAATAAAACCTGAGAACCCAAAAGATAATCCTTTGACGAAGAAGCATGTTGGTGGTGTCAAGCTCTTCGAATCTAGGAAGCCAAGCTGGAGCTGAAGTAAGAGGGGATACACCAGAGACATCCCAGTTGCTGGATACGGTTGCTTTTGGAAATGAACTCCTTGAAGCCTTAAT